TCAACCGTGACTCAACATTTCGAATGATCCAATTATGGGAGTTAATCAAATAAGAAATAGTTTTAGGGTAAGAATCAGAGAGAGTTATAATAGTTATCGCAATCAATCGCTAGAAAGGAAACCAAGTTAGTTGAAAAGTCAATAATTTCGAATCAATAAAACATTTCATTTGTTTGTCGATTGTTACAAACAAACTCATGATCAAAGAAAAGTGGAAGCTTTGAGAAAGACATCATGGCAGATGTATATAAGATTTACTTACAAGATGTGAGTGATAAATTTAATTTTAAACATGCATGGTGGTTGTTAAGAAACGAGCCAAAATGAAAATCTGAATCAATAGAAAACTCTTTTAAAAAAATAAAGATTTATAAATTCAAACCATACTCAACGTCTTCTAATACAAATGCGTTGAATGATTATGAAGAATATGATTCAAAAACACCAATGTCTTGTCTAGTAGGCCAAGAGGTGACAAAAAGAAATAATAAAGCAAACGTTGTTGAAACATATTTTGACAAATATGAGTTAGGTAATATAGCAAAAACAATGGAAAAGAAAAATGATGCAGTGAAACAATTGACTAAAGTAAAAAAGACAACTAACTTCGATAAAATATATTAAATTCTTAAGAAAAACACATTTGGGATGACTAAGAAGCAAAGATCATGAATTAGCTTGTAACTTTATTAGGCACGAGTTAGGACATAATTATCATTGTAATTTTATTTTAATTAATTTTTATTACAAATTATGCTAAAAGTTATTAAATGTTGATAAAAAGTAATTTTAATGACAAATATGGTGTCTCAATACCACATTCATTATATTTTATAAAGAGTTAATCACCTATACACTGTCAGTATAAATTTTTTTTACACTGGCAACCAATTATATCTGTTAATTGTGTCATGTCATTGTAAACACATTTACTTTTAACAGTGACATGACACAATTAAAGATATAATTAGTTACCGGTGTAAAAAAACTTTACACTGTATATGTAATTAACTCTTTTATAAATACTATTTTATAAAGTGTTTTTATCGTAAAAACAAATCTGCGGATAACATTAGCAATGAATTTTAATTTAACTTCTTAAAAATTTATTTTAATTATGAAATATCTTTATTCAGTGAAAAAAATGCATTTTATAAAAAAATTGAGGTTACAAACCGTCATAATTTGTGTTTAAGTATTTTAAAGATTAACGTATACAATTTAATTAAATCTCACTAGCAGAAGTTTATAGTTATTCTCTTAATAATATAAAAAAAATGGCTAATTAATAAGAATTAAATTAATTTTATGGAAGCAATCGAGGAAGTTTAAACTTAAAATTTTTCGGAGATAAATAATTTGCTTGAAAACAGATTAAGATCTAAGTCATTATGGTGAATTTTTTTAATTCCTGAGTATATAATGTAATACGTGGAATGTTAATCTTTTAATAATTTTTCTCAACAAAAGAGTTTATAAATTATTTTAATTTCTTATATAATTTAATTTTTATTTATTATAATAATTTATAAATTAAACCCTCAACTACCGCCACACGCCGGAGCACCGGTGGCCTTCCCAATACGACGACGGCGAGGACGTGCTCAAATTCCTCGCCGAGAATCCCGGGGTGTTGCCGGAAAATGCTGACGTGTCAAAGTGCTTTCTCGCCGGCGACAGCGCCGGCGCCAACATTGCGCATCATGTTGCGGTTCGGGTCGGG